GGCACCCCCCCTCCAAATTACCTTTATTTTATTGTACGCAAAGGCATCTCCCCCCGGACTGTGGCGCGAGTGCGGCAGTGGCGCGCTCTTCCTCGGTGGGAAGGGGCGGAGGAAGCTCTTATTTATGGGGTTGAAGCTGGGAGGCGTCTTCTGATGGGGCAGCTGGTCGCCCCGCCAGTGGCTCTCCACCGGCCCTACACTTCTTGGCCGGCTCTGACCGCGACGTTCGGCGGCTAAAGCGCCTTTTACACGTGGAGCATCTATCTGGCCGACAGCCCGCTAGACGACTTGCGTCGTATTCACTCCTGCGGGTCACGGGAAAGACACTTCGTAGAACAGCGGGCAGGCCTGCCCCGGGTACCAGGTGCGTTTCAAAATTCGGCATACCCATTGTTACCTGGCAAAAGACAGTCGCTTTGCATAATCTCACTTTCCGAGAGGTTATCTTCAACTTTTGAACTGTCATTCCTTGCTTTTATTAAAATGAAGAACTGGTGTTCCGCAAGGATTTATGCAGGGAGAGCTTCTCTCACTATAGTGTCTTACTTACTGATATTAGTTCAAATATTCCATAGTTGAAAAGAAACAAAACACTTTACTCGTCTATACTTCAAATGTTTTTAAGTTTTTGCTTGTCGCCATTTCCTTTCTTGTCACGGACACTTCACCATCGCCTAGAACAACTTTCCTGACCTCGCACGCTTCAACGAGTTCATAACGTTGTAGAGTGAAGATTTCTTTCTAGGGAGCTCTCGGCCAGCGAGCTGCCATCGTGTAAACGGCGGTCAAAGTAAAGAAGCTGGGGCTCTCGCACTCAACGGCCTCTACAAGGGCGGACGAGGGCACGAAAGGAGAGGATGAAAAGGAGCTATTGAAGTGTCAAAATGGAAATGCGGAAAGTCGGACACTGAGCGCTGAATAGACTCAAGAATGTTTTCTATTGGGACGTCCGAGGTTTACGTGTAGTACGGGCTGTTACAAGCTTCCGCAGTATTGGTACAGGAGGTTGCAAAGTGAGATACGGAAGCCATGACCCACCCCTAAAGCCTACACAGTTTTGTAATTTTACTCAACGTATTTAAAATAATTTCCATGTATTGGTCTCATCACATTCCAAGCAGTATTTCCGTTATGGATACACTCACACATTTTTATTTCAAGTTAACAAATAAATAGTATTTTATATTACAAGGCACGAAAGTAGATATTTCCTTGACTATACGGGAGAAATCCTGGACGAGCCTAGGAATCCCATTGTGACACGGAAAGTCATTTTTACCGTGTCATGTACAATATTTTATTCGAGACATCAATTTAAAGTCAATTTTTATGATATACAAATCTAACTGATTATCACGAGAACATTATACGTATTTTTACGTATTTCATTATACTATTAGTACGTTTTTTTTCTAGTTGTCTTACTTCCAGTATTAGTACGAAGAGTAATTTCGGTACATTTACAAGCTGGGGTTGTAAAAAGTTTAACATTCATAAAAGAAAATTTTGTGTCATAAAAGAAAAGTGTGCGTCCTTTTTTTGATGGCCTTGAATAAAAATTATACCTACTTCAAAAATGTATAAGTAGGGTTCGAACTGACATTGCCCCCTTCTGAATTACTTTCTGGATCCACCCCTGTGTAGTACTACCAAGTGTGTCTAGGAATTTAAGTTATCCAAATTTCATAGCTACGTAACATACCACTCAGCAAAGATTAACAGGTCTTCGATCACAGAAACACGTACCTCTGTAGCATGTCTACGCCCTAGAATACGGCAAAACATACCTGTTCCTACAAGTAAACGTGACCTTCGCAACAAAAAGTAAATTAATCATTCAGATATAAACAATGCTTTGATGTAAATGTGTGGTTGGGTGCATTACAGAATTGAATAAAAATAATTATTTTTCCGAAAAGTTATTTTATAGATTGTTTCAAATAAAAAATTTGTTCCGTAAAATCGCAGTAATGTTTCTTTGCCGCAGAAACCCTTAGAGCTTTCTACTACAATCTAAACCTCGCACGTTTTCGTAGTAATTACGACAGTAGGATGTTGGGGAGTCGTCGTGATTATTTGTTTCGACGAATAAGGCAGCCTCAGCTTCTTTACTTCGACATATTCGGTAGACTATATTTTTTTGCAAGTTTTTGGTAACCTAAACACTACAAATACTCAATTTGACTGTACCCTACTCACATGAGGTTTTGGAACAATTTTTGTTTTCTTTTTTACATGGTACTTCAAATATGTTGTGGTAGATACCTTTTTACGAGAGAAAAATAATGGTGTTCATATTTTTCTTCTATAACTGAAATATTTTTTTTCTATTACTAAGTAAGGATGAAACAGTTAGTACATTGCGCGGTTATGCAACTTTTTACATGGTAAATTCTTTTGCAATTTACTGTTATTTCTATCAAAAATAAATTCTGTTGCCGCATTAAATTGAATTGCAGTTAAAATCATAGTGTCAGTATTTAGGTAAAACGTTGAGTATTTTTTATAGGAAGGTGTGTCAATCTATGACACCGAGAGCTAAAGAATGGCAATGTTTCAAATATAGTATTAACTGGAAATGTTCGTTTTATAAGATTCGAATTGAATATGCTTCTTTCCTAAAATTAAACCAAAATGTAAACTGACAATATTAACAAATACACTATGTTATTTTAAAATTTGGCGAGTGATCTCACTGTTGGCTAATCCAAATCAGCAGATCATCAATATATTTGCACTACAATTAAAATAAATCTGGTCTACTTTGAATTGACCCATTGTAAATGAAGAGGCTTTTTCATTACATATATTTTATCCGCAAACGTTTCTCAACTGTTGAGTTCCTTGCCAAAATCTGCAAAAGGTGGAGAGCCACTGCCCCGCGCACTTGATAGTTCAGGAATACTCTGGAATGCGTTTGTGTGTATGGTTGCAGAATTTACAAATATACAACTGGACAATTGTTTTTGTTATTCACATGTTTCCTTACTTAAAACCTCGTATGGTAGATATAAATTTCGCGTACTATTCACGTACGTGCTTGGACGATTGTATACGATCAGAACGAGGTTGTGCATGATTCTATAAATATCTTTCAAAGCAGTGTGTGTGTTTAAAAGTGTAATATAAGACTTGTTGATAATTCGTTAGATTCTCCTGAGAATCTACTTTCCTGTTAAAGTATTCTGGAAGAAATCTTTTCTGTAAAATATTTGTTTTATTTGTATAAAACTATAAATATGTATATTTTTATGAGTATATTGCAGATTTAGGCCCCTTTAAAGTGTTCTGATGTAAAAAAGGATTAAGGTATCCTTCTTTACAAATATCCCACCCGTTCGATATGGCGGAATTTCCCCAAATTTATTATTTCTTATAGACATAAAAATGCCAAAGAATGAACGACATCTTGAAAAGTAGAATATTTATTAGTACTCCTATCATTCATGTCATCAATATATTTGCATTGCTCTAGACACCTCATAATGTTATCCATTCTTTTAATGTTCTTGTAGCTTACTTCTATCTTCAACTGAAATGTACATTGTGCAAACTTTTTCTTTCGCTTTGCTTCTAGTGCATCTACAAATTTCAGCAAATACTGTGTTCTATTTTTAAGTCTTTTATATTGCTTATCGCAGTCAGAATTTTGTTTCTTCTCAATTTATTATTACAATTCCCTTTAATTCTCAAGTTCGAGTATTCAGCGACTCTTATCTACTCTTGTATACCAACTGTGTATACCAACTCCATGTGCATGAGCTATGCTACCAAACTGGAGATCAATTTTTTTGCAATAATAAATTCAAAGACTGCGTAGTACGACATTCATGCTCTTAATTCACTCTTTGATCATTGATGTACTTCGTCTTGCCATTTTAAATACAGATTGAGTCATTTCAGGTGGAACAATAGCACTAACAAGTTCTTTTTATTAGATGAACAATATTTTATAATATAATTTTATATAGCAACTCTTCGTTTCTGCATTTTAGTTTATAGACAATTTCTCTACTGTTATAACATCCAAAAGGTTGTGGATAAAGTGTTCCGAAAGTCTAAGGATATTTCTAAGTATTGCCGAATATTTTTTAAACAAATAAAGAAAAAACAAAAAACGTGATTTGACGAAAATTGAGTGCTAATTAAGAAAAGTCCTGTATCGAAATCCGTCCTGCGATTTCCCCTTATTTTAGGTCGTCAGAATCTTGGTTCACCAGACAGGAGTCAGAACTGCAGTGCACTTGCTGTGGACAAATTATTCCACTGACCTCCCAAAATCGCTTCAAGTTTTACAAATAAGCATAAAAAAGCGGTGATATACAGGTTGCAAAGGAAATTGAAAAATTACAAAATACATTCTACAGGATTATTTGCTTCTGTGCCCCTAAGTGTAAGGAAATAATTTATTACTAATATTATGAGAGACGCGCTGGTGTTGTTTTATTTCCTGAAATGACTCACCCTCTGCATAAACACCAAAAATCTTTCAGATATATGACTACTGTACCTGATCAACTTACTTCGGCTACTCTGATTTTCAACTTATTTGAATTACTTGATTTTCCACAAAAGTCCTACTTAAAGTTTTACTTCCAATGTTGAAAATTTCAGCAAGAAGAATCAAAAGTCTGGTTCAATTCTGATATTCAATATAAGTAAAAAGAATCAAAAAGAGTTACAATTAAGAAGTCGAAGTTGTATCACAAGGAATTAGAGATAGATGACGATTTTGCACGTTTCTTTTGGGTTACAAATTTGATATTAAAAAAATTAAATATTGAAAAATAATAGTATTTAATAAATTATGTAAGCTGTTTTATCAAAAAATAAGATTATGATCTGAAAAAGCTTTCCAAGGTAATATAATAATTATTTTGAAATAGCCGATAAATCTAAGTCTTGTGTGGCGGTGTGCTTTATCAGAAAATTTCCAAAGCAAACATTTTTTTAGAGAATAAATATAATAAAACATTAAAAACATTTTGTGTTGTCATCAAAATAAAATTATTCCAATATGTTCTATAAGTGAATTGAGCAGCTCTGAAAAATGAAATGGTAGGTGCTGAAATGGAAGTTTCGATTTACAGGAGAAAAAATTGTTTTGTCTATAAGTCAGAACTGGTGTTTCACGATATTTATTAAACAATTACCTAATTCTACGATCTTGCGGTCTTCATTTGTTGGTAAGTATAAAAACAAATGTATGATATGTATTTGTATAATTTTTACAATTCACGGCGAGAACATATTTTATTCTTTAGTGTGTAGGACTGGTGAAAATGGACCATGGCTTTTAAAACATTATTTGAAACTACAATGTCTTAAGTTGACATGTAGAGAATCTGTTTCTATTCTGAAGATAGATGCTTCCCTATTTTTTTCTCCGTGAAATATTTTGGCGAAGTGTTATTGGATAATATCACTAACAATTCTTGTTAGAATTCTTAATCATAGCATGCCACTGCACTGCGCTGGATTCAACACATTTGATTCCTGATGACGCATTTTAACAAATGGAATTAATACCATTATTTGTCAAATTAATGTCATCAATTTTACTATTTGAATCGCATTGCCAATTTTTTCAAGATAAACTCACATACTCACTGCAGATGCATTGAAATGATTATGAATTGGTAAATGAATAGTAATTGACGAAACGAGTGTATAACGAGGGGAAATGGTATGTTCAAGAAAACGAGTGACGATAGGAGCGAATTTTCTTATTTACCATGAACGCAATTATACTCCTTTATACACATGTTACGTTCAAAATTGTTTGGTTTCCATTAAAGAATCATTTTAATTTTGAGAAATTCAATCATTTGAGGTTGATATCTGAGGACTTCATTTTGGTTTTTTTACCTAGACCTATTTTAGTAGGTCTTGCATTGTATATTTATGATCACTTTAGTGTCTTAGAGAATAATTGTGTTTCATAATTACATTTGAAAATGAAAAATATTAAAACATTCTGGCTGAAATATTAGAAGAAGCTGTCAAAGCCATGAACGAATTACTTCGTACGAAAAGTAAAGGTATGTTTGAGGAACCAACACGTGTTAATGTTGGAAAGGAGAAAGAAGATTCAGTTCTGACTCAGACGTTTTGCTAGTGTACTTTCGAGAGCGTATAAATACACCTGACGATTAAATTTATTATATTTTTAATATGATAAGACCAAAAGTTTTAAATGTAACGGATTTATTCATTTTAAATGTTTTATTTTGTTCCATTAGTCAGCTAGTGTCGATCAACATGTCAATGGTCGTTCTTGTTTTTGTTAAAGACGTGGCGTGTAAAAGAGAATAACAAGAATTCAAAATATAAACAAATTTACTTCATTTTCCAAACAAAAAAAGGAGTTTTACCAAAACAACTACTTTCTCTCTCTCCCTCTCTCTCTGTCTCTCTCTCTCTCTCTCTCTCTCTCTCTCTCTCTCTCTCTCTCTCTCTCTCTGTCTCTCTCTCTGGGCGTATTTATTTAACTAAACGAAAAAAATATTATGATTTGAAGATACGTGAAATCGTTATACTTCTCAAATAATTGTATATGTATATAATAAGGAACTACTTTGTTGATAAAAGTGAGGTTACTAATATCTTGAGAAGCGACATAAAATAAAAAAAAGTTCAAAAATAAAATTTACCTTGGCCTATAAATTCATGATAAGTTTTTAGGATTCCAATGTTTTTGTTTTGTTTTGTTTGGTTTTTACTTTTTCTCATCTAGGCCATTTTCGGCCCCGTGATTTTCAAGGCCCTGGGCGATCGGCCAGTCTTCTCATGCCTAGTGCTGGCTCTGCTCTAGTCAGTGGACCATGAACCCGCTCTCAGTCCTTTGTTGTTCTATTAGCCGCTTGTTAAACGTATGCTCGTGGAGCAGATTCATGGAACTCAAACGCTATCTGTTGTCGACAGGATGAAGCTGTTCAACGCAGCGATCTCGTGCCTCATTGAGCTCTCTTTGGGTAAATACTTTTGAATATATGACCTCTCATTTCAATGTAGACTTGTTCGAAATGTAGCAAATGAAGGATGTTTATCTTAGTAGGTTTGTGTACTTCTTGTAAATGTGTCGGCAGTTGGTTTGCAATATGACGTGTGTATTATTTGTGCTCGCACTGCTTTTTTCGTTCAACATGTGTTTGAAGGAACTTATGTGTTCCAGACAGCCGTGTTAGCTGTTGCCCTCTCCGAACCTTGAGCTACTCCAAATAAACATATTTCTCTTTTGCTTTTTATTCTTCGCTACAAAGGTTCTCGTCGCAGCAGTAGACGTTAATTAAGTCTGTAGCAATGTGATGCTTCAAAGCATCTGGTTGTCGATGGTTTAAAGTATTGTTCTTTTTTTTAATCTTTAGCAGTAAACAATGAACACTTAATTATACAATTAAAATTTAGTGTAACTCTATTTGCTTATATTGCTTCGTTAGAGAGAAAAAGGAATCACAAAAAAATTAAAATCTTGTAGATACCAAAAAAATCAATACTCATTATAGGCCTCAAACGACTTCATCCGATTCCTATAAACTCATGTAATATAAGAAAATCGAAATGTACAATTTTGCATTTTATCACCCTACTAATTTAAATTTAAATATTTTTGTATTTTAAAATCATATAACTTGAAAGAAAAAATAGGCTCTTTTTTAGAAAAATAATTGAATTATCAGAAAGAGAGAGCGACCTTTCGTATTGGGGAAAATGTTATTTTTACTGTGGGACGAACATCTCTTAATTAAAGTTGCCTTGCCCAATGTTCTGTGTTTGAGTGAACTGTTTACTTTGTAAGTCTACATTAAAAAAGGAAAATAGTGAATGCTATTTTTTATGGAATAAATTTTGTGCTTTATAATTGTCAGTTTTCCATAACAAACACAGCATACTTTGCATTGTTGGGTACCCTTTCTTTGTAATTTATTTACTGCTAGTAGACTATATAAGAGTTTCGGCCTTTTAAAAATAACAATTAATTGACTACTATCAGAGTTGATCGCACGCAAATTGATTACCCCCAATGGTTGGATCAAAACAAAGACTATAAAGTCAGTTTAAATTAGTTATTTGGAAGGAATGCATTTATAATTGTGAAATTATTGTATAATTGTGAAATTAATATTGTGAATTTTTGTGAAAATGAGAGGAAATGTTAGGTTATTTGGCGTGTTGTAGAGTGTGAGTATAAGGAATGTGTGTAATTTATGGAGGTATGAATCGGTATTTATGGAAGCGAGATTTGTTTCTACCAAGAAATTTGCAAGATTGGCCAAGATTAAAAGTGTTTTATGTGGGGAATAATGATGGAATTTGATTTTTTTAAATTGTATCAAATCCGTACGAATTTCTAAAGTTAGTTGTGATGTCATTGATTATTTGGTATGAACCATGGAGCTTGTTGTGCTTTTCGCAAAAATTTCTTTTGTACGACTTGTATTTTATTGATTATTGGGTAAATGGGTATACTGACTTATATCATCCGAGAGTTCGAACTTGAGCTTCCAAAAGCTTTAGAGTTAAAAAAATGCATAAAATATCATTATTGCAATTCATACGATCGTAATATAAATATTAACCCATGTCACTTCAAAAAAGGAGAAGTTGTAAATAGTTACACTATAAATGTGCACCAAAATATACACGGAGAAGCGAAACCCCAAAATATTTTGGTTCTTGTATTTTAGTACTTATCCTCCAAAACTAGTAAAATGAGTAGAGGGGTAGCAAATTCTATCTAATGTGAACACACAGTTTAAAAATGGCCTTATATGTGTAGTACAAGATAGTATTTCACATTGCCAGGCAAGAATGTGGATCTTCTCATTACGAGATAATAGAATTCACCCGCCGAGGTCGGTAGGCCGAGTTGGGGATCCTGTCGTGACATGAAAAGGGTTTTGGTCGTATGATGTACAATATTTTATTCGAGATCCTTCTTTGCGCATTTTTTCCTGCAATTAAATAATATCACTGACATGAAATGTTGTGTAGTTAAAAGTTATAAAAGGGTAGTGCATTGGCTGAACTTTCATTTGTACTCAAGTGATTCATGTGAAAAGGTTACTTATGGCCGCACGGCGGGAATTAATAGACTTTGAACGCGGAATCGTAGTTGGAGCTAGACGCGTAGGACAATCCATTTCGGAAATCATTAGGGAATTCAGTATTCCACGATACACAGTGTGAAGAGTGTGCCGAAAATACCTAATTTCAGGTATAACCTCTCATGATGTGCAAAGAAGTAGCTTCCGGCATTCACTTAATATCCGAGAGCAGCGGCGTTTTCGTGGAGTTGTGAGTGCTAACAGACAAGCAACTCTGCATGAAATAACAGCAGAAATCAATGTGGGCCATACAACGAACGTATCCATTAGGACAGTGCGGCGAAATTTGACTTTAATAAGCTATGACAGCTGGAGATGACTCGAGTGCCTTTGTTAACTGCACGTCATCGCCTACAGCACCTCTCCTGGGCTCGTGACCATATCGGTTGGACCTAGACGACTGGAAAACCGTGGTTTGATCAGATGAGTCCCGATTTCAGTTGTTAAGTGCTGATAGTTCGAGTGTGGCGCAGACCCCACGAAGCTACTGACCCAAGTAGTCAAAAAGCACTGTGCAAAGAGGTGGTGGCTTCATAATAGGTCAGCTTTTACATGGAATGAATAGGGTATTCTGGTGCAATGAAACTGATCATTAAGTGGAAATCGTAATGTTCATCTACGTATAGATCGTTTTCAGCCATTCATGGACTTCTTGTTCCTAAACAACGATGGATATTTGTAGATGACAATGCGCCATGTCACCTGGCCACAGGTGTCCGCAGTTGGTTTGAAGAACATTCTGGACAAGTTGAGCGAATGATTTTGCCACTCAGATCGCCAGACATGAATTCTATCAAATATTTACGGGACATAATCGAGATGTCAGTTCGTGTACAAAATCCTGCTCCAGCAGCACTTTTGCAATTATGTACAGCTATAGAGGCAACGTGGCTCAATATTTCTGCAAGGGCCATGCCACGACGAGGAGCTACACTTCGTCGGGCAAAAGGAGGTGCAACATAATATTGCGAGATATTCCATGACTTTTGTCACCTCATTGTATATGTACGAGACGAAATAGATCTCTCCGTTTACGCATAAGTATACGTAGTTAGTATAACGTTATGTATTTTCGTTTATGTATTTTCGCAAAAAAATGTTTTTCCACCAGAAAGATTCGATTTTAGACTCCCTGAGGATTTTTCTTGCTTCTATGTCAAAGGAACCACAATACACAGATACCTCAGAAAATAAACTTTTGAAAGTACAAAATATAGAGGATTTAAACGGCAAGTGATAGAATTTGTGCCATTCATTTGGGCGCATTTTACAATATCCGAGAAAA